GATGATATTGGAAGGTACCTAAAATCAGGAGCAAGACTCTCACCTATTGACTGTACCGTTCTATCAACCCTGCTAATGATGTCTGGTGAAGTGATTGAAGAACTTGATCTGACAAGATGCTACACACCACCATTTGGAACTGAGAGGTTTCTGAGGCTAATAATGAACTGCAGGAAGGCTGTGTGAGTATAAACACATGATAAAGATGATAAAACAACAGCAATAGAATTCCTGTTGCTTTCAATTTTCAATATATTTTGCAATATATGTCAGAAATACAGGGACATTAAAATCTCAGTCCTCAACAAACAAATAGGCAATAACGTAGCATAATGCAGGAAGGTAGGTGAAGTGGCTGACCTGTTTATATATATTTAACCAAAGTGTCTATAAATGCTATTCTTTCATATACATATACATGTGGATTGTCAGAGAGGGGTAGGTGCAGAAAGCTGCAGAGATTGTGAGGCTGGGTTCAGTGAAGGGCCGGTTTGAGTTCTGGGACACAGTTGAGCAAACCTGAGAACTGATAAATTACTCGGTTCTTTAGCCTGCTTTTTCTCCCCTGGAAGTTTCTTCTCTTTCTTACTGATGTTAGCAAGTTGATGAGGCTGAGAGATGGTTGAGTGGGGTCACCTATAGTCTTCAGTTCCGTAAAAATTCAAAAATCATTCATCATTCATCAGCATATAGTCTTCAGAACTTTGTGGGTGATGCAGGTTTCTCTGAATGCCCGGAATGGATGAGGAAAGCCTTCAGAGGTTTTCTTTGTGGCATTTTTAATGCACCACAGGGTCTTGAGACATACCACAGAGTGACAGCAGGGACAGGATCCTGTTGGTGGTCCCTCTGTAAAACTGACCCATCATACAGGCAGACTGTGGTTTAGGGGGTGAGAGTTTGTGTCTTAGCTTGTGGGCTGCAGGTTCAAAGTCCAACTCAGCCTGTCTCAGTAAATGTGTCCTTGGTCAAAAGACTTAACCCACTTGGGCTGCTGCTGGTGGTCAGAGGACTCAGTGGCATCAATTGTATGGCAGTTCTGTTCCAAGCCATCTGAAGGCACCCTGAATGTTGGATATAGTCTGCTTTTGGATGTAGTATGGGTTTTATTTGGCATATTTACTCTGTGATTGTTGCTTTTATAACAGGCTCAAGAGCGGACATGTGGAAAGACACCTGCAGGTACTGTTATCTGTTCTTCAGTCTGCCAACTCAAGCTTACAAGAGCTGTGTCTGCACGGTCTTTATAACACTGGGGGTGATCTCCCTAATGATCTCTTTTTTGTGCTTGAAAGTCCACAATGTAGACTACAAACCTTGAGGTCAGTCAAGTAAAAATATTTAGTCTGATTCTATCTGAAAACATTGCTTTGTCGGTAATCCTGCGGCTTAATAACATGTTTTGATTTTGTTTGTTCACAGGGTGTCTGGTTTCTCTATGAACTTAAGGCAGTGTAACACACTTGCCACCATTCTTCAATCCAAACTGTCCAACCTGACAACATTGGATTTGACAAACTGTATTTACAGCTACAATCAAGATTACTCTGGGTATTATTCAAAACATGAGACGAAGGAGAAATATGAGGATTTCATTGATGACCTAACACCATTGACTCTAATTTGTGCTGGTTTGATTGGACCTCTCTGCAAGCTGAAGGAATTTAGGTAAAGTAATGAAATGAAAAGGCC